TGAAAGCAAATTCCGGATGACGTAGGCTCTCGAGACGTCGGCCGTAACCTGGGTTCGGTTTACACAGTGTGTCACTCATCGCTTCCCACAAAAACTTACTTAAAATTCTCAAACTATGAGGGGACCTCGAAATCGCTCCTTTTCGTTTGTTTTCTGAAGATTATCAGGAACTGTAGCATCATTCCCTATTTAGACTATAAATGGGCAGAGAGATGCTGTTTTAAGGACGCTTTGGAAAACATATTACGGTACATTCAAGTTTCGGTTGTCCTTTCTGTCATTTCTTCATCCTTTCTCGTAGTGTTTTATATGGTAGGCACAGTACCGCCATGACAGTCTGTAGCATTTCGACCAGTGTTCTCTTCACCGTGGGATTCATTTGTCGGAGTGGAAGGCTGTTTCTATTTAGACGTCATGGTATGCTTAATGCCATTCGGTTGTTTTGTGAACGCCGGATATTGTGTTTCCTCTAGGACTTATATACAGAGCATGGGTCAGGAGGTGTTATAGCGACTACCGCGCGCGAAATTAGGTCAGTGAGCGCGGCATGCACATCGAATGAGGCGCTCCCAGTGCATACAGCTTATGGTACTTAATGGTTCATATTTTAGAAATTTAAAAAGATCCAAATTAACATTAACCAATATGGCGGTTTTTGAAATCGAGGACTTTTAAGCTACTATGTTAGAAGGAAAGTCTTGCAACACTCTTGCTCATTCCCGAATTTTAGGTTCATTATTGAACGAAGGCTTCAATCAACAGAATAATCATCATTTTCCTGAAGGAAGAGAGCCATTTTTCGAGCACCTTCTCTCTCCACGTCTTACAGAAGTCCAGCGCCAACGACAAAAGAAATGACGACGATCATCGAATTCTCGTTCTCTATATTGGGCTTGGCTCAAATAGGTGATTATCAGAAGGGGCTAGGTCTGATGGGTAAAATATGGGGACGCTTTCCTTCCGAGTTCCATAATTTTCCGAATTAATTCACTTGCCGAGTGTGGATGTGCGTTATCATGGAGTAGGAAGGAAGTCTTTTCGAGCGTAGTTCACGCTCACTACATCGGCCACTTTTCGCTAATGACGACGGTAGGCTGTGCCCATCACCATAGTGTCACTGCCCGCTAACCCGATTCCTGTGGTCGACCAGTACGTTGCACCTTTTCGAAAAAAGTTTCTTCGGTAACAAAGCGCTTGTACCATCGGAACAGCGTCTAATAGTGGATAATATCATTGTTGGTTGCGGCGCATATGTTCGCCACAGCGGTTTGGTAGAGTGTCCTTGCAGGAACACCCAGAAGGCAGTAGTTCGAATGATAGCTTGGTCGATTATGGAGTTCCATGGTTTAACACTCTTTAGAAAGCCCTTTTCTGTCCACTTTCGAAATCCATAGGAATATACTATAGCTAGTAGGCTCAAAAAAAATTTGATAAGGGTTTCGGTTTCTTTTAGCTGCCTTCCAGCCTAATGTTACTCTTGTCCACCAGAAAATCCCCCTGCAAAGCTGCTGCCACCAGAGGATAACACAAACTGATTAGTCTGCAGCTCGTGCAGGAGGTGAGCCATGGCATCGAGAAAGTTAGGCTCGAAAAAATCCCTTCAACCCGTTGTGGAAATGTAATAGATTTTGGAACAAAAACTAGAGACTCTCAAACACATTCTGTGAGAATCGAACTCACCCAGGCCATCGAGTCTTCCATGCCTTTGAGATCGGTACTATGGTGCCAAACTCGCCTAGGAGTGTAGAAAAAGAACCCTCTAGTTCATTGGCTAGCCAGCGCATATCACTGTGTGGGCCACATCCGCATTCAGAACGCCATCAGGTTTCTGAAAGGAATTCGGATTCGGGGCATTTACATCCAGAAAAATGGGTTTGATCATAGCCCGTGACTTTGTTTTTTATCTTTCAGTTAGAAGAAGTACGTATTGATTGATCAGTGCTTTTTGAGATGTGCCATGAATCTGATTTTCATTTTGAGTAACAGTGCCCTGCGTATTGAGCATATACCGTGGCTTGTGAAGCTACAAGGTAGTTCTCAGCTGCATGAATCTGAAGCAGTAGTCTGCTGCTCGTTTCTCCGGGATTTCAGAATGTCATTTGTCAAACAACTATTTAATCAGTCTTTGAGTTGATTGCCGTCTGTCGTGTTTTTCAATCAGCAGCAGGGATCAGATGCGACTCATGGACCTTATTCTTCACAGTGAACAAGAGGCATCGCCGAAGTCTGTCTTAGAAGGAAATGACTAGGTCATGAATCTGATTTCTTTAAGCCTCTTTATCGTTTGTCCTGCTGTGGTAAAGCAGCTACTTAACTTCCATCAACAACCTACGCTCAGCCAACGTTAAACACGGTCATGGATTCCTTTGATATAGAGTTCTGGTGACTTCCATTTTGGAGCAAAGAACGCTCGATAGTGGTTTTTGATGGTCATGATGATTGTGATGCTTCTTCCCACGATGCTGAAGCAGTCGGAAGAAGTGAAGCCTCTCGAGCTCAGGGGTGGCACGGCGGAGGTGGCAGATCTACTCGCTGAATTTCATGATTTATTGGAAAGTTTTTTTTGCGATGTTAGGGCGGGCGCTACAATGTAGAACATTGTTCAGGAAACTTCTGGTGTACCTTGTCGACCAGTCTTTGCATCTGAATGCAGCAGACCTTGGCAGTAATCGTTGTGTTATGCGGTAATCGCTCAAAGTGGTAGAAACCGTGGACTCCCACAAAGGCACTGAGCGTGCTCTTCATCTCATGGATTCCTCCTTTTACTGAAGATTTCGGGTCTCGTTACAGTGTGGTTGATGTGGAAAAGTCATTTTTATCTCCGGTAGTGATACCGTTTGATAGTGAAAGGCTTCGCAGCGAGTTCGAGAGAGTAGCTGAGTGCAGATGACCGGGAGACGGGCGTTAGGAACGATTTTGGGTAATCGATTCGCCGCACGCGCTGTCGCTGACCACTCATTCGCCGTTATTACGGCTCTAGCGTTCTTCATACAGCTCAATCGATATACGATCATTATTTTATGCATAATTCTACTATTAGTACTTTTGTTCTTGTATTTCCTACCTACTGCTGCATCCTGCTACATTCCTTCGCGCGCGACGCCCCTCTCACCGCGACGCGACCATTTCGTTCCTTACGCACCACACCCCAGATGACCAAGTGTCTCTGATGAAGTGTCAGTTTATGTGGTAGTCACTGATCACGGTGGAAGACCATTGACCACTGTAGCTTTTGAATAGCTGAGCGTGACAGAACAATAGCGCACCACTGCATATGTATGCTGTTGCGCCAGTCTCTTCATTTAGTTCAGCGATATCGCTGAAGGCCGACAAAAGCGGCCCTCATCTTTGAGTTCTTTTTTCCGCCTTCGGAGCTTTGGAACCAAGCGGGTTCAGATCGCTCCGTACTCCGAAGTGGTTTCAAGACCAATTGCCTGCCACAAGTTTTGATAAGCTCCCTTGACGAAATGGCCGGAATCGAACTCGTAAAGGAGTACGTATCGAATACGGGTTAATAGTTCGGTCAAAATTCGGTAGAATAAGCAAAGTAGAGATAGCTGGATATATCATACGAGAGTGTTGCGTGAGCGGCGCCTCCACCAAGGAATCCCATGGGAGCTTCCAGAATCCCGGGGAAGTTTGGACAGTTTGAGAATTTTTGGCAGGTACTTTCCGTACACCATTGTGTAACGTACATATGTAGGTAACGTCTACTCATGCACTATGACGAGTTCGGAAGTTGCGAGAGTGCAGTACAGTTCGGAATGTCTCGGTGCGTCTGAGCTTTTGAAACGCTCCAGCAGCTGTTGGAATGCTTGAAGAATGGTAGGCTTCGAATTGAAAGGGCAAGGTAAGCATTTGGCGTGTCCCTGCAGTACAAAACGTTAGTGGAACAAATGTCGTGTGATTGTTGTGCTCAAAGAATTCGCTGCATGGAGGCTAAAGCACAACTTTTGATGTATGCCAGGATTGACAAGCATCACAGGGTATACGTATGACGGAATTTGAAGGCGAATCGAATCCATTCAAAATCGTAGTGGCGTATTGGATTCGAATGTGGCCTATACGATGACTTGCGTTGGTCGTCCAACATTCGAGTCTGTGCTTTTATCTTCCAAGACGAGTCTGGTACCAATTAAACGACTCCAGAGGTAGAAGGATTGTTTTGCGCAGGCGGATATGGATCCGGGATTCGAACCGGGGACAGTGTGTGCATGGTTGTGCACCACTTGCCGCTACACCAGCTCCAGCCGCTGCTGGAACTCGGAAACTTGTGTTAGTCGTTTATCTTGGTTCCCTTTCGGAGCGCTCTAAGTACACTTTAATCCAACACTTCGAAGTCTGAAACAAGAAGGTCAAAGATAAACCTCGACCTGGTCAACCGATTACGATGTCATGAGATTTCCTGGCATGTTTTGCGCATGCAGATGCCTAGTGTTCGCTTACGATAATCCTACAGGAGGTTCCAAGGAAATTCGGAGGAATCTGGTGTACTAAGAAGTTCTCGGCAGATGTTTTAAGCTTGTATATCACCTGTAAACTTTGATGTGTAATATTGTAGTGTACTAGCAGGGCATGTCCATTATCTCTGACCTGGTAGAATCGATGCTCAAATATCTTTTTTCTTCATTTCCTTTTTCCTTCATTAAAGTAGGACATCATTTGAAGGAACACATGATTGGTACGTTCTCTATGATTCTTGGCTGGAATTCGAAAATGTTAAACTTTCAAAACATGAAGGAGGAGAAATTTGGACCCGCCGATGTTTTCGCATAAAGTGCGGTCAAACATAATCGGTCATGATCATCGATGTTTTGGTGACTATCGATAATAGTCAGCGATTTCTGGTGAACAGATTTTTGGTCCATTTGAATGGGGTCTCCTCTACGAATTCCAGTATTCGGATCTTTTCCGTGGTAGTCGCCATGTGTTTAGCTCGTTGTTGTCCTTTGATGATATCCGTAGCAGTCCATGCTCTAACACTACTGGTGTTTTCCAGAATGTCGTATGAATCGCTGCTGGAACGCGTAGGAACGCAGAAACACCTTCTTCAATTTTGGGATGAGTTAACTGATGATCAAAGGGAATCACTGGCTAAGCAGGTTTGCTCTTTGAATTGGATTCATTTCAGCCCCTTCTTAGCTCTTGCCCCTAATGGATTTTGTTTGATTGTAGTGGGATGTTCCTATCTAGCGGCCGAAAACTTATCCATATCTGTAGAATTTCTCCATACCTGAAGGGGCCGTAGTTATCCCGCTTTTTTATGACCGGAAAATAGGTCCAGGCTACCAAAACTGCCTCATATATGTATATGTGTTTCATTGTTCTTCTTTCATCAGTTGCAGTAAATGCTATGGGAGACCGAATGAAGGAGAAGTTTTCTGAGAATACCCAAGCAATAAGTTAAGAAAAATTATAAGCGCCTCAGAAAACAAAACTTGTCGGCGTAGCAGGCTAACAAAAACTCGAACTAACAAAAGCGCTCGACCTATCAAAAGCTTACCTCGAGACATTACGGAACCCTTTTCCCAATCAAATGTTTTTGTTATAGTCGAACACGATCTTTGCTTTTTCGATATTTCAACATTGGCTTTGGTCGAAATAGTTTTGAAAAATAGGGACGGGCTAATGCTGGACTTTTAGGGTATTTTAGGTTTCACGGTTGTATTTTTTTGTCTCATAGTATCAATTTTTTCTGAGTTTCATGAAAATGTTCTTCATTATCGAAAAATTCCACTTTCTTATAGATCGAAGCCATAAATTTTGACGCAGTGAAAAAAGCTTTTGATGCGTCTTCCAACATTTACACGGCCAGCCCAGACAACCTATCGCCCATTCCCGAAAGCCATCATGTGGTATTTAAGGATCTTTCAGATGAAAAGAAAAATCACTATTGGAGGAAAGGTATATTGAATTCTATATGGCTCTAACTCGCTGGCCCTCATCATATCACACTTACTTCCAGGATTGGAAGCCATTTCTCGTGGTGAAATTGCTGCAATCGTTTTAGCCGGTGGGCAAGCAAGTCGCCTTGGTTCATCAGCTCCCAAAGGTAATATCTCACTCTCATCTACTTCCTGTAACTCTGTATTGTAATTCTTGTATTTTCTACTTTACTGAATTCACTCTCCTTTCGGGTTCGTCACTGCAAGTGGCTTGTGACCTCATTGAGCAGAAACTTTTTCTTAATTCGCGAAAGGCTTTCTTGATATGTTCTAGGGATCCGCTGAGCCTTTGACTAACATTGAGATGATTTTCTGCAAATAGTTGCAACTTTCTGCTTTCCATCTGTCAAGTACACTCTATAGTAGCTGAAATGGGAAGTATTCATGCTTGTAGCGCTATCTCGAGCTGCCATCTCCAAATGCAGTTCAACATATGTGACCTATTTTGAGACATATTTATTAAATGCACGGTGAAAATGTAGCTGGGGGGTGCCAGCGCCCTTTTGCGCTCTGCGTCTCTTCAATTCTTACCTTATCTAAACATCTCACCCATCCCGGAGCTCCTCCCCTTTTAAATGTCAGGGAAGGAGCTCCGGGGTGGGTGAACCAATTGGATGTTCAATTCTTATCCCATCCCAGCTTTTTGCACGAGATCATCATCTCTCCCACCCTGGAGCTCCTCCCCTAACTTTTAGAAGGGGAGGAATCCATCTCGGCGATCTCTATGCACCCTGCCGTGTCAGAGACGCAGAGCGCAAAAGGGCGCTGGCACCCCCCTCCCCCAACTACATTTTCATCAAATGCACTTCTGCCAACTGTCTTTCCTTGATGCTTCGCCAAAGCGTTGCGTCAACGAGCTACTCTTGTACGGCTACGAAACACAAAATGTACTTCAGTTTTTCGAGGTGTTTTTTAGCAGGACACTTCTTCAATTTGAGGGTGGCGTAAAGACTGTTGAAGAGACCTATCACCAAAGTGTTGAAGTCCGTAAAAGATACAGTAACACACTCAAGGCAGGAAGGAAATCAAGGGTAGGGATTCAGGAAATGACCCATACCTTTCTTCATAAGCAAGGGCCCCAAGTGCATTACAACATGATGGTACGGCGCATTTTGTTCTTCTGATGTTATGCAATCGTGATATGGAGCAAAATCATCCCTATGCTTATGATTCTCAGGATACTGCGGATTCTATAAATTTGGTTGCCGCTTGTGAAGTGGCGAGAAGAGGATGTTTACTAATTCAGAATATTTATTTTGAAAGGACAGCCGAATAGGAAATAGTAGGTAAAGACGATAGAAATATAAGTGAAGGGTTGGAGTAGAGATTTACATTGGACGATACAGGGACGCGACAACGAGGACAACGGGTGGAACAAACTGTTACTGGGAATCTCGGTTAACCCTGCGTAATTTCCTACAAGTGCACAATGCTGTGAACATCTTCGCGAATTTATAGGAAGACCACGATCAAGGCATCCCAAAAAGAAAGCGCTGAAATCTGGTATTTAAACAGGGCCATGGGTTGGTTATTTGTTAATGGGTTGGTTCAGGAGGCCAAGCGATGAAGCAAAGCGGCTGTGATTACTTCATGAGGGATATGAAAGGGGAGATGAAGTTCGCATCAACAGGGTCAGAATACAAAAGGTTACAACTTCTACAAAAGCTGCAAGAATCACCATGAAACCATCTTTTTAGAGCGCGCCTTTGTGCTCAGATAAGTGAATAAATAAATAAATAAATAAATAAATAAATAAATAAATAAATAAATAAATAAATAAATAAATAAATAAATAAANTCGAGTCGGGTAGTTGGTACCGATCACCTCTGGGAAGCTAAAAGCACTGACTTGTAATAGGCAAGCCACTGCAAATCATTGTATAAGCCACATACACGCTCAAAACGCCACTACGATTCTGAATTGAGGTGAATGCGTGGGTGNTTCGCCAGAGTAGGTGCGTCCTGAGCAGAAATTCTGGATCTAGCCCTTTTGTACGAAGGTTGAAATCATGTTGTCAAGACGGCCGAGCCACTCAAGATTCAGTAAGTGCTGTAGGGATGAGCAACGGTGCTGTGGCCGGAGAGCTGGTCGGAGTTGCAGAGAGGCTTGTTAAGATAAGGCCCTGAAAGAGGTTTACAACCATTTAAAAAGGCGCGGTGGCGCTTAGAAAACACGCAGTTTTCAATTCTAACAGGGCGGGATGGGGAGGGGGTGGGTTACGTTGTAGCACACTTTTACTAGCGCGGCACTGGACCGACAGAACACCTCTGGGCAGTTTCACTCCGTAACGAGAGGTTTGTAGAAGTGGACATTGTTTCGTACTGAACAAGCAGGTGAAAATCTTTCAAAAACAGAGTTACGCAAAAAATTGCTTTTTCAGTATGAGAAATTTAGTTATTATCTCAACGTCGATGGGACGGAGGTGATGGTGGTGGCAAGTGGCGCACTATCCCACATGCATGGTCTATGGTTCGCATCCCGTATCGTTGTTATACGCCCAGGCTAACCAAGCCTTCCACCCCTATCGAGTCGGGTAGTTGGTACCGATCACCTCTGGGAAGCGCCACTACGATTCTGAATTGAGGTGAATGCGTGGGTGCATGCCTCAAACGGGATTGATTAACGCCCGAAGGCTTTATCCCTTATCCTCCCTGTCGGTCAGCATTTTGGAGGACCAGATCAAAGACTGTCAAGAGTATCTGATTCGATGTACGACGGATGGATGGCATCCTTGTACTTTTATTGAAGCACTAGATTTTCATCAAAGCACTGGACTAGGGTAACCGCGGGTGTTGTATTCAGGCCGTCATGGACCATCGCGACTGGACATCATCGCTCAGGACAGAATATTATAATTTTTTCGCAGTGCAGAAAAAAAGCCAAAGCTTCGGCTCAAATTAGCCTCGTTGAGCTCGATGAGAACTGAATTCTAGAGCTTCAAGGAAGATTTCAGTCAAGATAGGGAAATGGTAGTTAGAGAGGGGAGGGTTGAACTGTGTGTGGAGTAGGGCAACTGGTTAAAAGATGAAAGAGAAAAAGAAGGATGCATCATTTTTGAACGTTTGGCAAAAGCTATATCCGAATGTTTGGATTTTTTTACTATCAACAATATTGCGTTCCCTTTTTTTCAGGTACCATCCCACTTGGTCTCAATGTTGCTCCATATGATTCTCTACTGGGTATACAAGCATGCAAAATTGCTTTATTAGAAAAATTAGCCATCGAAGCGTTCCCCGAAGCCAAGGAAACAACGAGGATCCATTGGTGAGTGACAATCATTCATGATATCTGACTTATAGTGCTTTCTCTGGAATGCCAAAGTGTCTACGATATTGCCAACCCCTCAAATTTCTTAGAATCGAATTCCCTTCAAGCGACACAGCTTTTTGGGAGACAAGTGTCAAGCATGCCATTGTTGCCAGTCGAAGGGCTGGCTGTTCTTTCTTTCTTCAGCGTCTGCGCAGACAAATGTTCAACTGACGCGACATTCATTGGCGAACAACGAAGCTGAAGGGGAGTCCCGAAGCGATCATCTGATTCCAGGCTTGTGATGGCTTCGCAATCCACCGAAAGGGAAACAAGGAAACATCTGGGTGAGGTGATTCCAGCAGCGGGACTGTCCTACGAGCAGGTCACCATCTTCACTCAGGCTGAAATCCCGGCTTTCGATAACGATGGCAATCTTTTGCTTGCTAACAAGCATACGGTCGTCACAGCTCCAAGTTTGTTTCTTTTCTTTATGATGTATCTCAAGAAGAATAAGAGCGGATGTTTAAATAAGTAAATAAGTAAACAAATAAACAAATGAATACCACATCCTGAAGACCCCATTGGGGACACGTCATGAACTCCCCTAGTGTTGCGATTTTTGGCCACGATGCTGTCCTCGCACACTTGATTTGTAAGATGCGCCTCGTAACCTTGCGCGTCGATCACCCCCGAATACTCCTCTTCGCACTTGTGGCGTGATGTTCTATTATGAAGATGTTTGTTCTAGCACGAATCGTCTTTATTCTAGCAATTGACCTCGCTGACTGCCACCATTGCTTTGATTACTGTAGTAACACACCGGATAGATTGCAAATGCACATAGTCTTGACACCGATTCCCCCCGATGATTGTTCAGAAAGCAGTAAACATCCGTTTATTCGCATTTCGCAGTCGGCCTAATAGAGCAGAAGTATTTCAGATGGTAACGGAGGTTTGTATTCGGCACTGGCCGTTCATTTGCCAAGGATGAGAACGCAAGGTGTCAAGTACGTCCACGTGTACTGCATAGACAACATCCTTTGTAAAGTGGCGGATCCACATTGGCTTGGTTATTGTATTGAGAAGCATGCAGATGTCTCTACGAAGGTGAGGTTTGTTTCGAGTTACAATTTCAACAACCCAGCCGTGTTTGAGGCATAAGTCCGACCTACATAGTATATCATATCCCCATGTAGTCGCGTTGAATGACCCCTCGAAGTTGCCGCACAATCATGGCTGTCTAAGGACATTCTCGTCACAGAACACCCTACAGATTTCTTCACAATTCCCCGGACCGCTCAGCATTCTTTAATGGGAGGAATTAAAAAAACGCCTGCACACCAACTAGGAACAGCAACGTGACATCCTAGCTGACAATATTGTGTATAGATAAGTGGTTTGTTTAGTCGCTGTCTTTAATTGCTACTGTTCTGAACCATTGGAGTGTTTTAAGCAGTCGTATTTTCTATTCTGGTGTCGTCATGATGCTATGATCATTTTATTCTAAGAATCAGTCAGGCAACAAGTGAGAGCCCCATCTTTCATCACTGTCCCTACGATTCAGATTTGGTGCTTTGATTGAAAAATGAGTTACGCATTAGCTGCTTTCGTTTCCTATGTTGGAGATCCTCAAGAAGCCTCTGGACAGGATCTCAAACAGACGTGACTGTATCGCGACATTCCCACGAAATCGGCAAGATCTGGGATTTTCTGTAGCAAATGTTGCTTCCTTTCTCATCTTCCAAGGACTGTCAGAAAAAGACGATCTAAGACAGGCAAGAGCTTCAATAGACAAAAGCCGACCCACCAAAGCTACCGCATCGTTGAGGGGAAGTGTGAGCATGTGTGTACTGGAGTTGTCTTCCAATTGGTTGATGCAACAGTCAATAAGGACAATTGCTGAGTGTAGTGGGATAACCTCGCCCCTTAGATGGAGTGAAAAGGAAACCGAGTTGTCCTCATTCATGCTCACGTTCACGTTTCAGCCTCTTAGTTGGACAGTCCGTTCGCCTTTAACTCAAGCATCGGGCCTTCGTTAAGATGGCGCGCTGAATGGATAGAACGACGGAAAAATTGGAAAAAAGGCATGAGCAAGGCAATTCGGGAGAAATTAACCAACCTAATGATCTGGAATTACTTTTCAAATTTTTAAACTTCCTAGTTTCCTTTTTTTATTGTAAACGTGGTCGTTTCTCTTATGATGGCAGTTATGTTCTCATCGTTGTCGGGGTTCCGTTTCGTTACTTTCTGTTCGAAAAAGCATGGTTTGTAGAGCGTAAAAAGGCGTTAATATAGGGTTTTGCTCGACCGGGTATATCAAATATTACGCTGGTTGATAGAAGTTCAACAATTTTTCGACCAATCCCGTTTCCGGAATGCGCCCACACACTCGACGTCCTTTCAGAATCGTAGTGGCATTTTGTAAG